GTTTTCTACAGAAGTAGTTGCCACAAATATATATTCAAGATATTTCCCCCTTACTTCTTTTCAGCATTTTAATTTCAGCTTCAATAAGTCTATTAAGGACTTTTGATACATGTTTTAAGAGATTTTTTTTTTAGGACTAGCTAATTATCTTTTCAATTTGGGGTTTTGTATTTTATTCCAAACTATTAATGGAATAAAATGCTTATATTTAAACTCGTTCTTCTTGTTTAGTACCCATGCAGTACTGGAATAATCTACTGGGACTTTGCCTTCTGCAACAGAATGGTTTTCGAAAATGTGAAAATTTTTTTAAGAAAGTGATAAGGCTATGTCTGTTTAAGGCTCTGTTGACAAAAACAACCTTTAAGTCCATGTAATATCTGACTCTGGGACCACGTGCCCCTTCGACTTCCTTGGTGCCCAAAGGCCTCATTTTTATTAATTTACGAATGCTAATGATGACACTACATGCTTACTCTGTGGCATATTTTCACCTCCCTTTCCTCATTCCATTCTCAAACAACCCAATGAGGTCGGGAGTATCAAAATTTTAGAAATGAAAATGCCGCATTATTTTCCTAAGCCATGTAGCTTATGAGTGGTAGAGCCCCAATTTGAACTCAGGACACTGACTAGAAACTGTGCTCCTCGTCACTCCCCACACGCCCTCGTAGGACCAGATCCTCTTGCTACTCCTCTAGACACTGGAATGATATGAAGCCTCTGCCTGACTCAGAACTCCATTTCCCTGGCTGGACGTATTCTTTCTAGTGCTTTCTCTCCCTTTCCAATCACGCATTTCCTTCATGCCAGTTTTGGTTAGTAAATACTAAGAGTATGTGTGGTGTTTGTCCCTTCCTGGAAACCTTGGGAAATTTTGGAATCCAATGAAGAATGTAGGTAAAAACCAAGAGGTTGTTAAGTATCATGAAACCTGATTGCACGTTGAGCGCCTGGGTGGGATTCGAGCTTCAGCACTTGGCCTTTCCTGGTACCCTATCCTCTTTTTTGCTACCACCCCGTTTATCAGGCAGGTGCTTGCTGAGGGAGAGGACATATAGGGTGGTTTTCCTAGGGTAAGAGTGAATCTTATTCCTGAATAGAAATGGTTACCCTTGACTCAGAATTTTCCACAGATGGCACACTTGGTATTTCTAGTCGCCCCCCTAGAAATATTGAAGTAAATATTTGGAGCAAAACTCTGCCATGTTGTTCCTCAAACTCTGATAATATTTGATCTGAAATTAGTAGCAAAGATGTGTATGTGTGACATCTAAGCACAAACCCTGGAAATTTTAGACAGGCTGTGTTTTGGAAAGACTGTGCTGATTTATAGTTAAATCAAAAATTTCTCCAGTTACATATATATAAGGTTATTTAAAAGGCAGTTTGCTGCCTCTTCTCTCTTTTTCTCCTTGTGTCTGATGACCAATGGGATTTACCAAGAGCGAGACTTTTTTGCTTATTTTACCCTGAGAGGAGGCATGGGTGTGAGATAAACCATGAAAATCCCACAGTTAATGGGAAATTAAAGGTTTTTCAACTCACATTTACTGCTTGTGAATTCAAGTGACAGCCATTAAATAATGATCATGGGGTTAGACATCCACAGTGGAATAATTTGGCTTCTGGGTGAATTTCCTGATTTATTGCCGTTTACGGTGATATTGTTCCAAGCACAGGCGCCTGTTCCTGAGCGGTCGCCTTCTCTCGTTTCTGATGGGTTCTCATTCTACTCAGAATCTAGAGGTGTCCCCCACCCCCACAGTCTTGCAATTTACTTGCTGACCACACAGGTTCCCTAGTAAGTATTTAAATGATATTTTGGGCTTCATCACCACTTTGATTCTGTATAAAATAAAAAGCAGATCAGTGACTGCTTATGATTTTGTGCTGAATGACTTCCTTCCATTTTAAAAATCAATAAGGCCTACATCGATCAAGTTTTAAGTGATGTAAGGAAAGAAACAAACTCTGACCAGGCAGCTCCCACATGTCAGGCACCACACTAAGCATTTTATGTGCACGATCTAATTTAATCTTCACGATGGCTCTTAAGGGTCAATAGTATCATTCTTATTTTAAAGATTAGGAAATTGATGCTTAATAAGAAAGCTTAAATAACTCACCTGAGGTCACACAGCTAGAACCTGGTGGAGCTGGGGGACTGAACCTTGTCTGTCTCGTTTCAAAGCCCAGTGAAAAATCTGCCTTTTCTTGGGTGGGAATAAGTCTCCCGAAGAATCAAAATGTATTTTAGTAGACTCTAAATGCTTTGGCAAGTTGACTGTCATTAAGAGATTAAAGAAATAGCTTCTTTTCTCTTCTACATTCCAAGTGAAAAGATTGAAGCTGAAAGTGGGTGATTGGTGTATTTCGTTGTGATCAAGGAATGTGTAATTCTTAGATCACAGATTTCCCCAGATATCTATAAACAAGGTTATTTAAAAGCAATACACTGCTTCTGAACTACATCAGCATTTCTAATAATTATATCTAAGTTTCAGATCCCAAGAACCTTTATAAGCTACTGTGGGTACTGCGGGATAATATACAATGGTGATTTCTACCCAGGCTCCCACTCCGCTTCCCAACCTTCTGGTGATTTGTAAAATTACAGACTATTAACATTTAACAAGTTTTAGAGCTGTGACTGTTATGTGAGGCAGGGGGTAAGACCGCTTTGAACTCACTGGATTGCTTTGTGCACTGCGGCCCTGTTTTTCCTCCATCCCAAATCCTGCTCAGGCTTCAAGTCTTTCACCCTCAGAACAGCCTTCTGTGATGAAGTCAACTCTCATTGATCTTTTTCTCACTTCATTGGCATTTTCTGGCTGTATTGCCAAATTAGCACCTTGTTATGTACTTCCTTACTCTTTGAGAGAGCGTGTGTGTGTATTTCTGTATCAGTGTCTGTGCATCTTATATCCCTAACAATGCCGTAAGCATCTATGGTGAAAGACATCTCATTTCTTCTTGATACCATGCAGTAGATATTCTTATTGGCACATGGTAGGTGTTCAGTAAATATTTGATAATCGAAATACCAAAACTGTCATGAATCCAACATGTCATCTGTCTTAAGTTGAAATGAAGTATAAGAAGAGCATTTAGAATGTAAATTTTAAGTAGACTTTTAAAATTTTTGGATAGGTAGTATATCACATCAAAATGAAAGAATATTAAAAAAAACAAACCATACAGTGAAAAACCTCGCTCTATCTCTGCTCCTACTCTCTCATTCCCTGCTTCTCTACTAATAAGTAGCAGCTTTTTTTTTTCCGTTTTGCATGTATACTTCTAGAATATTTTTTGTTTTAAACAAATGACAGTAAAAGTACTCATTTTTCACATTTTGACACAGAACTTTGCATATTGTAGACTAATTCTGCACCTTGCTTTTTTCATGTAACTCTATAATTTTGGAGATGTTTTTTTTCCAGACCAGCTCAGAGACCTTTCTCATTATTCTCTTCCAGCTTGGTAGTAGTACATTATGTAGGTGTACCATCATTTTTTTAACCTGTGCAATACTGATGGACATTTGGGTTGTTTCCCATCCTTTACCACTAAACATTCTGCTGCAGTGACTAATGGGGACATATGCCATTTCACTTGGGGACAGGGGTGTTGGAGGATACAGTCCCAAACAGGGCATTGGTGGATCACAGAGAAATGCATTTGTAATGCCTGTAGGTACTGCCAAATCACCCTCACAGGTTCGTGCCACCTTATGCTCCCAAAGACTTGTTTCTCTATGGTCCTGTCAACAAGTTGTATACTCGAACTTGGATTTTTGCCAATCCGATGAGTGAAAGATGGCATCAAAATGCGATTCGAATTTATATTTATCTTATGAGTACAGTTGACCATGTTTTCATGTGGTTTAATGGGCATTTATCTTTTTTTGTGAACTGTCCACATCTTGCCCTATTTTAATAGTTTGCTGTTTTTATCAATTTCTAGGAATTATATTTCTAATTATTAATTAGAATGATGAGTCTTTTGACTGTGAAATAAGTTGAAAATATTTTTCCTAGTTTATCGTTTGCCTCTTTTGGTAGTGGGAGTAAGTCTTTAAAATTTGTTTCTGGTGCAGAAGTTTTCAGTTTTTAGATAATGAAATTTATCGAGCTTTTCTTATATGGCTTTTGGATTTTGAGGTGTTAGGTCTTCGCCACCCCAAGGCTACATGTTTTCTTATTCTTTTTGTTTTGTTTTGATTTTCATTTTTCTTTGATCCATTTGGGATCTGTGATCTGAGAGATGAATCCAACTTCGTTTTTCAGATGGCTGCCCAGTTATCTCAATACCAGTTATTGAAAAATTCTTTTCCACTGAGCTGAGATGTCATCTTTATCACATACTAAATCATTTGGATTATATATTACTATAGGATGAAATATAAACACTGCACTAACAAATAGGGATGATTTAGTACATTAATTCATACAGCAAACATTTATTAAGCACTTAATAAATTAAGCAATCATTATGTGCCAGGTCTTGGGGATATAAAGATGAGTTTGAAAGAATCTCTTAAGAAAGTAGCAGGACAATGAATGTAACCCTGATGCATGGAATAAGAGCAGTGGAGAGGCCGAGACAGACAGAGAGAAGCTTCACACAACAGAGACACTGAGCTGAGCCTTGAAGGCTCATCTGAAGTTTGCCAGCCAGGAGCGAGGAGGACATTCTAGGAGGAGGAGCTAATAAACGCAGAGGCGCACAGATCCAGGAGACTGAGTAGCTAGTTCTTCATGGCCATAATGTGGGGCAGAAGACAGTTGGGGATGAGACCAGAGGCTGATTAATGGAAATTATCTCTCAGGTGAGTGAGTGCAGGTTTGGGGCATGAGGTGTTGTTGTACCTCCTCCATGCCTTCATTCCTCTAAACAGATGAAGGGGAAAGATTAAGAGGTCCAGAATAAACGGAAGCCAACACTTAGCTGTGTTCTACAGGTCGGTTGTTGAGTTTTGACACTGTTGCTTATTCTAGACTACTCCAAGCTCCCGAAGCCGAAGTCTCACTTTGCTCCCCCATGGAACACCCTGTTCTGCGTCTCCCTGTAGCCAGAGACACCTCAGCGCGGGGGCCCCCGGTGTTGTCACAATCACGCATCACAAGTCGCCTGCAGCTGCCCGAAGAACCAAGAGTCAGTATTCCGGCCAGCTTCATGAAGTCAGAGAGGTAGGCTTTGCTCTCCTACTAGGTTAAGTGGTCCATGGGAGTTGAGGGCTGCGACCGTTGCTCTGCCAGCTTCTCTTTGTACCATCTTCATTACAGAGACAGAGAGAGAGGACCAGCGGTGAATGTCCCACCCACGCAGCAGTGACAATCCCTCCTCTTTTTAAAAAATAATTATTATTTCTGTTTCTTAGGTTAAGTGAGTTGTTAGGAGACCTCTGTCAAAGCTCGGAAAGCAGAGAAAGCAAGCTGACAGAGACATGGATGTCAGCGGAAGGATAATCAAAGGCTCCATGCTCATAGCAAAGAATAGACAGTACAAAATCATGGGCAGTCCGAAAGAAATTGAGGGTGTTTCGAGACTCTGGAAGCTTTAGGCCTATAGCTTTTCTCCCTCTTTTCTGCCCTGCTTTCCTTTATGAAGTGCTTACCTCTTCCCCACCATCACAGACATGCTCCAGGAGTAGGGTTGGGTAGTAAAAAGAACACTGTCCTTGGCATCAGAAGACTGTTGCTTGAAAGCAAGTCTTTTAACAGCTTCGAACCTGAGCATCTGCTCCTGTAACATGGAGGTAACCCAGGCCATACCAATCCCTTAAGGAGGATTCAAGGCTCCTTTGTGATCACACACATGAAGTCCCTCCACCTGGGAGTGCCTGGTCAACACGTATGGGGCTGTGTTTTGTTTTACTTGTGATACACTGGGAGTTCATCCCTTTGGGGGGGCCTGAGTCTTCAGGTTTCACATCCTTTGCAGCTATTATGGAGAACAGACTATATAAAATAAATGATGTGGATCTTGGTTGTCTAACTTCTGTTGAGTGCTGAGGCTTCTTATCTGCTGCTGACCTGTGTATAGACCAGCTTGTCCTCTTAGCTAGCAGATCTTGTCCTGTGTCAAGCAGGAGAATGGGACTCCTAGAATAGGGTCTTGGGTCTACTTGCGTCAACCTGCATCTTATTTTATTTTAAAAATGTCACGAGCCAAGTAGTGCTATGTCGACTATCTTGGTGTGATTCTAGTCTAGGATAGAAAATCTGAAATCTTCTGAATCAAATCTGTAGATGCAAATGAAAGATTTTTTCCTTGATAGATTTATATATGCGCATACACTTTTTTGCCTAATAAAAAAAGTGCCAAATCATATACTTCCTTTGAAATAGTCACTCTGATGATAAAAAAATTGAGTATGAGTCTACATTTGCTACATTGGATGATATGAGGAATGGTTGTACATATGTGTATATTGTTTTTCATTTTTTTTATAACACCATTACAAAAAACTATATCATGGAAAAACTTTGAATGTACACAGAGTAGAATAGAATAATGGTACCCATCATCCAACTTAAACAATTCCAACCTTCTATTCTTGTTTCATCTATTTATCATCTCTTTTCCACTACCACTTTTTTTTTTTGTTGATTGGGTATTTTAAGGAGATCTTAAATATTTTATCGTTTTAGCATTGCCAGTAAACACTTCAATATTTAACAAAGACTTAAAAAAACCGCAATACCATTGTGGCACTTTCATGGAAACCTCATTGCAGAAATTTTTTTCTGTAAGTACTTTAGAGACTATAACCTTAAAAAAAAAAGGCAAGTTGAAAGTTCTTGATATTTTAAGAATTATTTTAATTCTATTATAATGAATCTCTGATAGACTTACTGTTGTAAGCGATGAGGCTTTTTGTACATATGAAAAAAATTGGGGTGCTTGTGTTTGATGAGCTAAGGCTTAAATAAAAGTTGAGGTACTTTACTTGATTTTTAATAGCATTTGATTCAATATAATGCCAGAATCTTTCAACCTTCATTTTTTAAAGTCAAGTTTTTAAGAGTAAAAGTATGTTCTTTGTATGTGTGTGTATAAAAACATTGATTATATAAAGTACATAATGCAAGTTTACATTGCAAAAGAAGTCTAAAGAAGAAAATCAGAATTACCTATAATCCTACCTGTTAATCTTTCAGTGAATTCACTTGGTGAGGTTTTTTTCTGTATTTGTTACATACATAGATACGTGAAAGGTCATATAGTATAATCTAAACTTTGTAAATTATTACATATTTGCATATATGATGTTTTTTTGGTTTGTTTTCTCTCCATTTTCCATCTATTGGGTGGAGGAATTATAATTTCCCAGAGAGTCTCATTCTGTGAAAAATAATTAGGCAAAATGTTTCTGTAGCCATTTGTAATTTTTTTTTTTTGTACTCTTGGGCAAGAGTCTTTCTCTTCAGGTGATTACTTTTGTCTACCAATGACCTTTCTTGCTGAAAATTAATTTTCAGTGAACTCGTTGGGATGTACAGACATTAGCAATTGAGAGAATTGTAGGGTACTGAACAGCCTCTGAAGGAAGAGTTGAAAGTTGTGATTCTCAGATACCATGTCCGGCTTCACTCCTGATTGGAGAAGAGTAGCTGTTTTGAGACATCTGTCATTTTATGATGTTGACAGGCCACCCTGAGAACTATCTGAGCGAATTGCACTTATACCAGAAAGTTCTGCAGTTTTAAAAGTATAAATTTCAGAGTATAAAGGTCTCTGCTTTTAGATTCTATTGTATTTGTCTATAAAATAACTAGAAGAAAATGGAATAGTATTTTTAACCCAGCTGTACAGGGAAGGCAAACTTAGGACCACTGAAGCGATGGAGAAAGTCATCATGCACAAGACAGATGTGCCTGAATATCTGAAGAATAAAAGAAAAATAGCCCAGCCAAAGGCAATAGAATAAATTTTAAATGGAGTGCCATAGCATGGGTGAAAATAATGAGACAGCTTAAAAGATTAAATGGTTATCATCTGAGATATGAAAAATTGAGAGACCAAAGGTTCGTACCCAAAGTCCCGCCCAGAAGTGGTTAGGAGAGATGAGTTTAGGGAATTGGAGGCTCAGTATCATCGTGAGGAGAAAAGGAACATATCTTCACTAGGAATTCAGAAAATAACCAGTAAGACTGCTTTGTCAGATTACCAGAAATGATGATAGTCCGTTATTGGTTGGGATATTAATAAACGTTGACAGTGTTGCACATTGTCTTTTTGCTACAGTTTGGCGATAAATAATGGAACTGAAGCAAATACAAAGCAAAGCTGTGTATTATCGGTGACTCTTATCATCCCCATTGGGAACTATATTCCGAGGAAATAATCCATGGAATTGGGGATAGAAGGAAGAAAGTTCCTTTGGGTAAAGCTATTTGTGCTAATAAACAACTCCAATACAAAACTCATGGGAATGACTAAGTGAATAATAATACACTTAACATACAGAATTACTATATAGCAACTTAAGATAAAAGTCCTGACAGTGTTATCACTGCATGGGCGTGTGTAAGTGAAATAAAATCAGGATGCAGAATAATATGCACACATTAGACCCTATGTCTGTCTTAATAAAGTTCAGAAATTATTTAAAACTGGTTCCAGAATTTTGGATTTTATTTGCAAATTAAAATTTAGAATTTGGGGAGCAACGTAAGTGTTCCAAGTTTTTATTTTTTATTTTTATTTTTGGCCTGGTAAAGACATTTTTAAAGCACAGCAATAGTCTGTGGTTGCCACCATCTCATAAAAGCACACTTAATGCCTCTCCCCAAACAGTAGTCTTAGAATAAAAGGTTATTCACTTCACTAAATAAATTTAGTTTTCTGAAAAACATATCCTTTTTTCCCTTGGTTTTCATATTTTCTCTTGAATTAGAAGAGAGCCTATCATGGATTGATCCAGATCTAGGAATCTGTGTTTTTAAACCACTGATTACCAGCGATTTTTAACTTCAGAAATGACTTTCAATCCTACCCATCTTCTCCATCTTCTTTCTCGTTCATGCCTTACTCTGTCTCCAGGAAGCCACCCTCACTCTCCACGGTGTATAAGGTAGAGGCTGAACTCTTCAGCATGGCAGACGGGGCCTTCCACAGACTGCCTTGTCTCCACCTCCCTTGCCTTGCCTCCTGCCCTCACTCTTTTGCGTTCTTACCGTGCACTTAACTACCTCCCTCTTTTGGGAGGTACACTGCCCAGTAGAGCTTTCTGCTGTGATGGAAATGTTCTATAACTGGGCTCTCCACTATGGGGCCAGTGAGCTCTTGAATGTGCTAGTCTGAATAGTGATGTATCATAAATGTAAAATGCACAGTAGATTTCAAAGACTTGGTACAAAACAAATTAAATGTTTCATTATATTTTTTAATACTCATTACACGTGGAAATGAAAATATTTTCTCTGTGTTGGAATAAATTAAATATATTAAAATTAATGTCACTTGTTTCTTTTAACATTTTTAAATGTGCCTACAGATAATTTAAAATTATGTAGTGCTTCTCACTTGTGGCTTGCATTATCTTTCTCTTGGACAGTGCTGCTCTAGACCGTGGGATTGCTCACTCAGTGATTCCTCCATCCAGTCTACAGGTTTTAATTGAGCATCTACTATGTGTCAGACACTGAATTTTTATGCCGAAAGCTGTGTCTTAGTCATCTTTGCATCTCTAGGCTTAGCATAATTCCTGGACATGTAGGTTGAACATAACTGATTTAAGGATCCATTTTCTAGCAGTTAAGAGTGCTTTAGAAATGGAACGTGGACGCATCGAAGGGTTGCTTAGATAACTAGGGGGTGGGTGTGAGCGAGGGGAAACCTGACTGTTGGTTGAGGGTTGAGTCAGGTATTCCTATGGTCTCTTCTGACTCTGGTAGTGTTGGGTGGGCGGACATGTAAATGAATATGTGAGGGGCCAGAGGGCACACGATGACAGAGTGAGCCTCTGAATGCTGGACTTGTTTTATAAATACAATCTAATACTTTTTTAAAAATCAGTTTGAACCTTAAGCTTTTTAGCATGTCCGGATTGCAGTGTATGGTGTATGGTATGATAAACTTGTATTTTAACTTATATACTTTCAGTTACATTTTAACAGGTTTTAATGTGGCTCACATTTGTTTAAATGGATACAGGTGCAGTTAGTATAAGTGCAGTGTATAT